AAAAATATAATAGCCTACGTCTTGTTTTATGGACGTTTTAAAAAATCAGGTACATCTGATATTAATTTTTAATCAACTTATGTAGTTAATAAAAATTCGATCATCCAATTTTATTATATAAATTTTTGTATTTTTATAAAAAAAGATTTATTGTAAAATATTTTACATTCATTGTATACATATTTGCAACCATTGTAAAAATTAAATTGATATTTTTACAAAATCCATCAAGTTTCCTAATAATACCATCAAAAGATAAAACTGATAACTAACAATAATAAAACTAATAATTGATATCATTATAAATGTCAAGTGCAAAAATATATTTAAGCCAATTTTATTTTGGTGCCATTTGTTTTTTCATTATTGTTATTTGATAATTATAAAAAAATACCTATAGATACGATTTAAGCGACTGATTGCTTTTTGCAGCATGTTACAAGAAGACTTATAACAAATTAATTTGTGATTGGTGGAAAGTTAAACATGTAATAATAAGAGTCCAAAATCTCAAGCTACAATTTCTAATGTTCATTGCATACAAAACAATGCCAAATGGAAAATATAATAAAAAATAGTGGTACGCATTTGACAACTCTCCCCTACTGTTGGAAAAGTATTACATCTCAAACATGTCATCTGTACGTGCTTATATTTATGTAAGGTATTTAATAAAAGAAGATTTAACAAGATCCTCAAAATTCCGCGTTGAAATTTCTCCGGTGTTATTAAAACGATGATGTAATGCATAATCTAGGTTGTCTGTATAATGTGCCTTTTAAAATGCGCCGAGGCTCCCAGCGACAGTATCCCTGCTTCAGGTCTATTTGTCGCACGGCGAACATTTATTTCTCCCTCTCAGCTTTGTAAATCTTACTCAAGAGCGAATCGTCCGTCTTCGGTCTTTTCTGTGCTGCTTTCTGCGACACTCTCTCACTCTTCGTTTTATCTACCGTCTCTCTTTATCTATTTATTCCGACGTTTTTTTGATAACTCTCTTAGCCAAGAAACCCTCGGCCTTGTAACGAGATTTATTGCTCTCGATCAATCATCTATGCTGAGATTGTCTCTTAGGCGCGAGCCATGTCCAATTATGGGACAGTTAATTTTTCACATAGAGGTAGTAATCTCAAGCGTTACGCCAATTTTCAAAGATGTAATAGATTGCCTCTTCGTGTGTGTGTGTGTGTGTGTATGTGTGTGTTAAAAGTTGAAAGTGTACTACTATCTTTACAAAAAAAAATATGTTGTTTAACATATTGTCATTTTTGATATTTTATTATCAATATATATCTATGTATTGAGTATAAATAATTTATATGCTTCGTGATTTATATACTTCGTACTTTCAAATATCTCAAGTTCTCTTACTAATATTATATCTATTCAAGTTCTCGAGAGCTCAGTAACTTCTTGTAACATTTTTAATTTTTAACTTTTGTTGTTGGTATATGTATCTGGCGACCTTGCCGATGACATATATCAGAGTTCGCTACAGTTGGAGAGTTGGTCGAGAAAAGAACGCATTTATACACCGCGTGTCCAAGATCGAGTCGAATGTCGGTCGGAAAAATAAAGAAACACTCCAAGAAGTTCTGCTGCCTTCATGATTTACAAGAACCATATGGACATAATAGACTACAGCTTAATAGAACGCGAAATTTTAGTCGTACAGAAATGACCTAGATTTGTTTCTACAATATTCCATGCTACGCTACAGCAATATTAATTTTTCGCTTCAAATCGACGGAGGCTGTGGTTATTCACTTTGGTTGGCAGCTAATATTCGAGATTGTTAGGAAATTTCGGATGTTTACATAACTTAGGAAATATCATGCACGCGAAATACGAGAATTCCGTTATGTTCCGATAGCTGCATAAACGAAATTCTATCAATTTCTGATATTCATCAGTTGGTACATCTGAAATTTGCGATCGAAATTCTATAATGTTAGCACATTAGAAACTTCATTATACGAGTGTTAATTAGTATATAGTCTGTTAAAGTAAACCTATAATAGCGTTCTATAAGAAAACGTGTGACATTTGAGAGAGAGAATTCGACTTTTTTTATCAAGTCAAGCGACGCGCGCGATATGAAAAAATAGAAGATTATATTTATGATTATGTAATTTTTCGTTAAATAGTATTGTTACTTCTTAAGTTACTTTGCATTCGTAAATTAGGTTCCATAACTATCGGAGTTTCCGATTGACTTTTGACGTTGTCAAGAAGGGTGAAAAACTCTCAGCTTTGCCGATGCTCAAGATAAGATCCTTATCATCGGCTATTTGTAAGTGACCAATCTCGTCAGAGATCTTCAATAAGGAATCAGCAACGATTGTTCACACACACACACACACACACACACACACACACACACACACACACACACACACACACACACACACACACACACACACACATACATCTTGGCGATAACTGAAGAGTTTCGAGCATAACAAGAAGATAAATGGAGTGCTAAAGACCCTTGAAATTTTCAGAAGGAAATATCACGATATCTTCTTGATAGACTTATTCGTAATTTTAACGATATTATCTACTATAGCTGATATCATCTCGGCTGATTAAATTGAGAGCGCAAAGGATTACCTTCGGTGCATTAATTGTTAAGTTTCATTAAGAATACATGAACGTTACTTAATTATGTTCATCAGAGGATGTAACAAAGGATATAACACTTTTGGTAACAGAAATGACGCTCCGCTTGCTTAATATAATTTCTATGAGTATATAATATTTCAATATTGCACATAAAAAATAATGTCTTTTTTTATTCTGACATTTATAAATAATTATACCGACTTTCATGCTTTTTATAACATGACGACATTCCGTTTATTACGCCTAATTCAAATTTAACTTGCAGCGACCCTTTTAATTAAGTTATTTATTCAATTGCTGTGCCCTTGAGATTTCTCAAGTTATTCTTCTTTCTTTTGTCCCGAGAATGACTCATTATGGAGATTGAAAAGCAGAACATCTTGCTGCATTTGTACGTAATATTAATAGATTGAAACATAGAAACAATGCAATTGTCGAGAGAGAAAGCTAAGATAATTATGATATTATGTATGATAATAAATGAAGGAGAAGCTTAGAGGAGAGAGATTACAAAGGAGAACTTATTCTTGTGTTTATTCTTGAAACGTTCTTTTATCCTTTTCAGTATGACAACGTTGACCGTGAAGCAATCATTCGTTTTTATTAGAAGTACGATTGAATAGAGGAATCGAACGCAAATATTAAAGTAGCCTATGAAAGGAATTCGGAAAAATATGCTGATGCAATCAGTTTACAAACACCAAAGGTTAGAACGGAATTTTAAAAACAAAATTCTTTTTAATATATTTCACATCACGCCAATAAAATAAATCGAAACGTTCGTTTGTATGTTTTAGAAAAATACAGAACGTTTCAAGAGTAAACACTTTTTCTCGTAAAAAAAGTTTCTGCAGAGAGTGCATCTTACGATCTTTATGTTCCAGTGTATATATCGTACAGAACATTTTCTTCGATCTCACATGAAAGAAATTGCTAAAGAGAATTGCTAAGAGAATTGTTACTATCCTACATTTCTTAAATTTTGTGAAGTAAATATGCAAATGTACAATATTTTTATCTTTTTTATCTATTAATTTTTTCGTCGATTTGTTAATTTTATTTTACTCTATCTTATTTCTATAGGAATTTAGTGAAATTAATTCTTGAAAGGGTTGTTTGCGAAACTCTTAGTCTCATGATGTTCTTGTTATAAAGAGAAATCTAAAATTTAGAATTGACTTCAAAAGATAAATGGAAAGTAGCACAGATCTGAGACACCCTGTGTACGACAAGCCGCCGTTACTTCGGCAGGCATTTTACCTCTCTCTAAAAGGACAGTCGAGCGAAACCGTCTGCGAGCGAGGTAAACCCAATGAGTGAAAGAAATTGTCGCGAACGTTATTGTTGGTGGAGAGAAGCGAAACGGCAGGGCGTGTAGTAGTCGCGATGAAGCGAATAGAGGCGCAAACTCGCTTTCGACCGAGAGAGGAAAAGAAGGAAAAAAGAGAGAAAAAGAGAGATATGGTAGAAAGAGAGAGGTAGGAGAAGGGAGAGAGAGGAAACCGTGCCCGTGCGCGAGTCCTGGGTGGTAAAACGGGGAGGCGAAGAGGGTGCGAGAGGACCTGGAAGGGTGCCTAGGATGCGATGCGGTGGGGATGGGTCGGGATTGGCTTTTCGCGAACGTGAAATTCAGTAGTACTCTACCACCCACGCACGTAGTACGCACGTTCGCTCCACGTGTGCTCTAGAAGTTATCCCCGTTCTTCACATCTAGCACCGCGTGCCAACAACGAGCGAGTTTCTCCCGGGCGAAGATTCCTCTGATGCGTCTTGGTGACGGAGTAATTTGTAAGTACATCCAGCTGGGAGTATTCGTACCTGTTATAACTCGAGGATAAAGAAGACTGTCGAACTGTCGAAGATCTCGAAGATAAATAACCGATGAAATGTTCATAACTGTTAATCTGTAATATCATAATGATTATCAGAGATGCCATGTAACGAGAAGACGGAGCGAACGACTTGCGTTTGTACAATATTTGCTGGTGTCATCGTCGTGACGTGAAGCGAATGAATTCCCTGTCAAGCAAAGCACACTATCCACGAGGATAAGCGAGAGCACAACCGGGTGAATGCCACGAGGCTCAGCGAAACAGAAATTTCTAATATCGAGAAAGAAATGAACCGACAACAACGTAATCTTCTTCCATTTCGCATATTGAATACGTGACTTTCCGTCTCAACGATTTATTTTGTTAATTCTCTATCGTACATAACGGAGATGAAATTAAAACCCCAATGTCGTGCTCGTAATGAAAATATTCAAAATGATAAATTTACATTACACGAGGCAGAGAATTTCTCGCGTTGACAATGCCAGAGTCATAGATTTCGTAGGACGCGACGGATGCAGGTTGCCCTGAAAAAATCAAGAAGAGATCGAGGACTATAATCGTCCACGGTGTAAGGTGAGTTTTGAAAGAAATAAATTAATATTGCATAGAAACATATGATTAGATTACTTTATTTTCGATTAAAATTTATATTGGTTTTTAATAAAATAAGATACAATTATCGAGTTTTCGATAAACTGTATTGAGAAATAGATATAATATTATGTATCAGTTAGCAACTACTTAAAAAAGATTTTGTATATGGTAAGATACATAGACAGTTTTTTCTAATTTAACAATGATTATTTGGTATACAAGTATTGTTTATATGCATATCTAAAAATAATTACATGTAAGTTTTTATTATATATATACGTACATTACAAATTAGAAAAAAGAAAAATATAATATGTGTAATTGGAATAATAAATCTGTAAAATTGTCTTCAAAATTCCTTATTATAATTTTTCACTATAGTTTATTCAATTTTTTTTTAGCTAAAAATGTATAATCTTACATATTTCGTACATTAATTTTTTTCAAATATATTAAATGGAAAATACATAAATCATATATGCTCCAAATAAATGAATTCCTTTAAAAATTTTTTAAATTTTATAATAGTAGATATATTATTTAATTATTAGATGTAATAATACATATACTTTTTATTTGTTTAACAATAATTACATTACAATTTGGTCGTTATTATTATTTTTCCGTTTTTCTATTATAAATTGTATCTAAATGTCAATATATATAACATTAAGGTAACATATGACAATAAGAGAATGTTAACAAATAAGAAATGAAATAGCGTAATTACTACATTTGTAATTTTGAAGATTATAAATAATAGCGTTACAATTTCAATTAATGATAAAGAACGTCAATAGACACTTTGAGTACGATTAAAAATAAGGTTCTATTTTCGTATTTTCTTGCATAAAACATACAACAGAAATGTTTACTACATTCCAATTCCTGTTTTAAATATTATACGTATTAAAAAAGATTATCAAAACTTAGTAAGACCGAAATATATTGGGATAAAATTCTTCATTAACGTCTAACTCTTAGAGTCCCAATTTTCTATATAATTTTATATATTTCATACAATTTGATACATCCATTTATTGATTTGTACCGTATAACACATATTTTTACTTGTTCAATATTGTTATGGTTTTAAAATTGGCGGCGTTTAAATGATCAAAGATACGAATGTGAGAAAAGGTCCATTTCTCTCTCTCTCTCTCTCTCTTAAAAACATGAGTTACCTATTGAAGCTTTAGTTGAATAATGGTTTATCAATTGCTATTACGATTGTTGCCACTCTTGCCTCTTATTCTATAAAATATTTTATATTACATAATTTTTAGTTTGCTTTATAATATTTTTTTCGTTCATTATCGATAATGCTTACTTCATTTTTTCGACCGAATTTTCTTTCATTATTACTTCTATATTAAGCAAAAATAATCTGCTTAACATCGTGACTCTCAAATGAAAACGTAATTTACCATATTTTCGTAGTAATATATTGCGCGAAATGAAAATATAAGGAGCATGAAATAGATATTATCCGCGTCTTGCACTCATTTTTCATCTTTTTCGGGAAGCTCTTCTGATACAATTATATGAAATAGGAGGATTTACTTTCAATTATAAACTCAACATGTAGCAAATTGTTATTGCAGGAAATTGCAATTCACAGACGTGCATCTCATAGTTTGATAATAAATAAATAAGAATTTACGATACTTTCATAAATTACTGGTAAATTGCATCGTTTGAGATGTATACAGCTTTGATCACAAACATCTTCGAATGAAAGGAAATTTCTTACGCGTGTATCAGCTGCAGATAGATTTGATTTTGCAAGTAACTAGATAACGTTTGCGGTTCTCGACGTTGCTTCTCGACGAGAGTTCGTCTTCATTAAATGCAAAAGCGCTAATTGAATATTCCTCCCAAGAAACGAGATAGATACCTTTATCTCATAAAGTGGAATATAGAAAAAGTACCGTATGACATTTGCATTTAAAGTTTCATAAATATTGTAACTTTTTTAAATATCGAATTGAAAATCACGCAAGAATGACATGAGTTATGATTAAGTAATATATTAAATACTTTATACATTTATTAACTATCGTATTTATTTACTTAGAAAAGGAACATTATTCTTAAGTAACAAGGTGACGTTATTTGTAGTCATTTTGACATCAAAATAACATTAAGTGATGTTATTTTGACATCAATTAACAATTGATAAATAAGCTTGCTATCTTGGTAATTATTCAGAAACTGAATTACTGGATACTTATGACAAAATGAAAAATAATTTTTTGTAAAAAAGAAAAGGTAACCTTGATAAACTGTGATATAACTTTAACTATTTGTATTTAATTATTATATAATATTTAATAGTTTTGATGATTTTAATATTTATTTCAAATATTGCAATAATGTGGTGTAATCCTTTATGTAACTATGCAACGACACGATGTAATTTTGTAGGGTAACACGATGGATTTCCGCTATCTTTCTCACGTATTTTTCTTATGACGGTTTAAGAAAAAGTGTCGATTGCCTTGGATAAAAATGGACGAAATTGGAAAACCGAGGATTGACCGCGGTCGTTTATGTGACAAAAAACAGTCTAAAAATAAAACTTTGGTCCCAAAGTAGAACTTCTACAAGTAGAACTTCTACTGCTATGATTATTGTATTTCGATTTATGTCATTTTATTGCTATTTTTCACTGTTACTCGAGCTTTACTTTTCATCTATATTATGATATCACACAGCAATTTAAAGTATTAAAATTTTTGAAATTATCAATATTACAATATTTTAACTTTATCAAGTACAACTATTAATATAATTTTATCGGAGTAAACATTATATAACGTATTATTATTCTGTAATATGGCAGTATAAAATAATTCGCAGGACATATACACGCAGGACATATATACGCAGGCGAATTGTACACTTATACAAATACACTTTACGAGATTTAGTAGAAACGAAATGTAGTCGAGAAGAATCATTGGATTTTTTTTTATTCCTGTATTAGACTGAACTAGAAAGTTACTTTTTTTCCTCATTTTAACCAAATATCAACATGTACCTATTTCACTTTAAATTTCAAAAGTGTATCTAGTTCAGCTGTAAAAAACAGACTTATTAATTGAGGAACAATATACTTGCACGTGTATCGTTTATTTATAATTTATTTTTTCGAAAAAGCTATAGTGAGATGTTTAGTCTCGTTCAACAACGTATATCGTTGCAAGGAAAACGCAATTACGCTTGTAACGTACCAGAGTTTTTGTCGAAAGGATGGCACACTGGAATTCATTGATTTTTTCTCACGCCGTGAAAAAAGTATCAATCGCGAAGGACGAAAGACCGTTTGACAAGATGTAGGAAAATAATGTCACAGAGGTTGGATGTTATCACTTTAAGGAAAAACTTCTTTTCATAAAATAAGGAATAACAAATTTTTCATTTTTCTTTTTTTGAAATAATTCACGTATCTCATAAATATATTTTTTTATAAAACATATGTACATGCTTTTACTATATAAGATTTATTTGCTGTTGACATTATAAATGTCTTTTTTAATGTATTAACACATACACATGTAACTTTTTTTGAGAAGCAGTGATTCGTGCAAATCATAAAATATTCTGGATTGATTTATTTTTCCCTAAAATATTTGTTCTATTATATTATGTACCCACACATACACACACACACATCAATAATGAATATTACATGTTTTTTTATTATTTCTTTTACATTAAGAAATAATATATATAATCGGCACCTCTTTTAAATGAAAATTTGATTTATTATATTTTCGTAATAATTGTTGGGATAATTGTAAATGATAAGTTATTATAAGCAGCAGCAAATGATGTTACTGCTGAGTCTTATAACAAATGGCTTCTAATAATTATTAAGTATATAGGAGGAATCAATGTAAAAATTAAGTTACCACATTATTAAAATATCCTTAGCATTTGCTTGTTAATAACATGCCATGCACAAAAGACCCCACTTTTGCTGCGAAAGTAAAGCCATGAAGCAGTTACTTTCACGGAATCATTTGTCTTCGCTGAAGCTGTTCCGAGGTTTCACGTCGCTTAGGGTAAGATGTCAACGTACAGCTTCTAGCAATGGGTATTTCTTTCGCTGAAAAGAACACGTAATCGAAGAACGACGTGGCTCTCGTCTCTCTGCGGTAGGAAAATCAATGTTATCAAGAGAGATTCTGGCCGAGAGGAGGAATTAAGTGTCGAGTGCTTAGTAGACCTTATTTGATTTAATAAAGAGATATTTGATTCGGTTGCTTATGCATACTGTAATTTCCGTGACTGGACTTTCATTTCCTTCCTTTTTTTTTCTCTTTCGTTGTTCCTCTTTTTTTTTGCTGGATGGTCTACGAACATCCGACGTCAAGTTTCCGTCGAGCATGATTTAAGCGAAACGGGTTGTCACACGCGACGTGTCTGATCTACGTATCGTCGCGCATGACCGACAGTCGTGTATAAATGCACACGCTATAAATACTAAAATAACAGATTGATTTATGATCGCGCGTATCATCCCTTTTTTCTTTCGATTTTCGTAACACGTTCGCGCAGTTTATTCTGTCTCTAGATAAAATACACATATTTTTTTATTTGCTAACGAATTAAAATTTTCGGTTGGTATGTTTACGATAAATATCTGGCATGAAATCAATATCTCTATACATTACTCGATATTTTGCGCTAATAATATTCTCAATTATTATCATTTTTCCTCTATTTATCTCTCTACGTTATTAATGATACAAATTCATTTAATACTCCAGTGCAATCATCGTAATTGAATTTATATGGCAATACAACAAGTGAGTGCTCTTTTTATATTTTCTCAATCAGCTCCGCTCTAATTCCTTCGCGAAATACGATGCTGTTACGTTTGTGAAGCTCAGATTGTAAGACGCTTCCCACTAAGCAAGGAACGTTGCAGCAACGTTCAGTAACGTTGCAGCAACGTTGTGACGTTACTA